AGAAGTCTTGAATGAGAGCATCAGAGGTGGGAGTACAAACAGAGGATAGACACAGGTCTTCGGCAGAGTGTCCCACTCCTTGACGGGACACACTTGTGTAATAGGGAGGATAGACAGGTGGGAGAAATATTATGTAGAGATTTGAAAGCAAGAACCAGAATTTTATATTGAGCCCTATATCTTTCAGGAAGCCAATGCAGGGACTGACAGAGAGGTGAGGTGTGGGAAGTGCGAGCGGACAGGAAGATAAGCCTCGCCACCGCTTTCATTATAGACTGCAATGGGGCAAGTTGGGAGCACGTAAGACCACTGAGAAGCGGTTTGCAGTAGTCAAGGCAAGAGAGGAGAGTGGCATGGACCAGCACCTTAGCTGCATCTGGCGTTAAGTAGGGGCACATGCGCGCAATGTTTTTGAGATGGAAGCGGCAGGATTTGGCGATAGACTGGACATGAATGGTGAAGGAGAAGTCGGAGTCAAAAAGAACACCTAGGCAGGGGGGCGTGGCCTGGCAGCGCGCGAACATGGACGCGTAAGCTCCCAGCTCCGACGAGGGTGAATACCTATACCGCAAATAGCAGAGCATAAACTGCCCTACCGGCTCGAAAACTGAGCGGTAAGCCTCACAGACCGACCATGTCCTTACGGACAGCAAAAAAAACAAAAATACGCCCGGCAGAGCTACAGATAACATCGCTCACGCCACCCAGGAACAGGGCCCAAGATGGCGGCGGAGGCCATACATCCCCAGCAGCATGCTCCGATCGGAGCGACAGCACTTCCTTCTCCCAGGGGAATTCAGCACCTGCCTCTGAATCCTCAATGCACAGAATGCTGCAGGAACTGCAGCACAATCTGCAAAATGAATTCAGCAAACTTGCCCGAGATGTTAGGGCTGATGTCCAAGCAATAGGGGAGCGTACATCTATATTAGAAGAAAAAACTGAAGAAATCATAGAGGCCCATAACAACCTGGTAGAGGCCTATGACTCCTTTGGTGCTAAAATCGACACTTTGATTGCAAAAGTGGCAGACCATGAGGATCGCAACAGAAGGAATAATATACGCCTGCGGGGCATATCGGAGGATATTAAGCCAGCGGACTTACAAGGTTTCGCTATAAAACTATTTAAAGCACTGTGCCCAGAGCTTGAGGAGGCAGATCTACGCCTAGATCGTATACACAGGCTCCCCAAACCGCGCTTCCTTGCAGTCTCCATACCAAGAGACGTACTCACTAGAGTACACTTTTTCACTTCTAAAGAAAGTGTCATGAAAGCAGCAAGGCACAGGGATAACATCCCAGAGGAATATAGTGGCATCCAACTCTTCACCGATCTGTCGGCAGCGACGCTAGCTAAACGCAAAGAGCTGGCACCGATCACCAAAACGCTGAGGAACGCTGATATGCCCTACAAGTGGGGCTACCCGACACGAATTATTGTCAGGAAGAACGGAGTGGATCATCAAATCCACACTGTCAGGGAAGGAATCCAAATGCTCAAAGATTGGAACATGCCTGTGGCACCCCAAGATATCGCAGACCCACCCAACAAACAACGCAAGTCGCCTACGAAAGTATCCAAGGAATGGATGTCGATGTCTAAGCACAAGTGACAAGGACTGAGTCACGAAAACCAAACACCTTTAGGACTGCCGCTCTCTCTACCATGGACCTGGTTCACAGTCCTAGGGATGCGTGAGCATAACCATACATGATTGCAACTGTTGAATTGTTATATGTAGCAATTATGTCATTTCTTTGTTTTTTGTTCTTTTAGTTCCTCATTTTCATTTTCATTCATTTTTTTACTTTAATGCAAGCTTATTGAACGGGAATGTTATGAGCAGGCGTGACATCTCATGTAGCCCACTAGTATACCATTCCCACCATCAAACTGTTATAGGAATGTAAGATGTTATAAGTGTAAAGGGCAGTTTCTCAAGTCCTATGTACACCCTCCCCCACTTTGGCTTTATTAAGCCGTGAGATCAGCTCTCGTTCACAGACGGAACACGTCTGTACTCCATGTTGTATATAGTTGCCACTTGGCTATCTACCCTCCCCCCTCCTTCCCACCCTCCGAGCTCACTTATAGCAGGGTGCCCACCAGGAACATCCCTGATTAATAGAGTAAAAACAAACAAAAAGCTAAGGCAATACACCTCACCTCTTATTGTACAAGTCCCAAGACAAGGATATCACTTTGCACTAAAAATTTACAATTGGGTGCGATATGCACATGACAGAATTCAAGATAGCATCATTGTAGCATGCAGATGGCCCTGACCATTTTATCGCTCAATACCAAAGGGCTTAATTCACCCCATAAACGGAGATTAGCTCTAGCCGAAACAAAGAAACTAAGAGCACATGTAGCTTTCTACCAAGAAACCCATTTTCTCAGAAACAAAATGCCTAGATTCTCATCTAAATTCTACCCTACTGGGTATCATGTAGGATACAGTAAAAAGAAGAGAGGTGTATCTATATTAATCAGTAAGGATATCTCCTTCACGCTTCATAAGAAAGTAGGGGACAAAGAAGGGAGATATCTTTTAATACAATGTCAGATTAATAATGAACCGTACACGCTTCTAAATGTTTATGGCCCTCACGATAATCAAGGTATATACCTAGACAAGATAATTATGCTCACCCAAACATATACATATGGTAAATTGATTATAGGGGGTGACACGAACTTCCTGCTAGATAGCAATCTAGACACTACATCAAACACCACGGTGTCACACGCCACCGCTAAGAAGAGATCCGCCATCACACACCAGGTTAGACATCACATACACAAAGCAGGCCTATTAGACATCTGGAGAGTGCTACATCCTTCTGAAAAAGACTTCACCTTCCACTCCCAGGCGCACAACTCCTACTCTAGGATCGATAGATTCTTGATCCCTCAATCCCTAATTCCGACAGTACAAGGAACGAGCATTGGACAGATCACATGGTCAGACCATGCACCCATAACCCTGACGATAACAGAGAAATTTCCACATAAAGGCCAAGGGTCCTGGAGACTCAATGAATCCTTATTAAAAGATCCACAGATTACCCAACATATTAGGGACGACATTAAAATGTACTTTGACATAAACTGCTCAGGAGATGTAACCGCTGACACGATATGGCAAGCCCATAAGGCGGTCGTCAGGGGCTCGCTGATCAAACATGGCTGCTATGCCAAAAAGCTAAGAAAGGCCACGTACGATACCCTTCTCCAACAAATTATGGCCATCACACACGCCAATAAACAAAACCCCACACAACCACAGTATGACAAGCTTCGAACACTACAAACCCAGCTCAATGAGGTGGATCTAAACAAAACCAATCATATCTTACACAGATACAGACACAAATTTTTTGCGCAAGGCAACAAATCAGGGAAAATCCTCGCCTCCAAGCTAAAAGCGCGTACTACCCACTCACGAGTGGAATTTCTTTTATCCTCAGATAAGCGCAAATTGTTGAACCCACAAGATATTGTGGAAGAATTCGCAACCTATTATAGCTCCCTTTACAACTTAGAGAACCAAGAGTCTACTCACGTCCCCTCAGAAGATCAAATTCAGCGCTTCCTAGCAAATATTGACTTACCTACACTTACAGACGCAGAAATAGAGGCCCTTACTCGCCCCTTCACTAACGCAGAAATATTGAGCATCATAACAAAACTACCAGCTCACAAATCCCCAGGTCCGGATGGCTTTACAAATGTATATTATCAGACCTTTTCCGACCTGCTGTTACCTCACTTAACAAACCTCTGCAATCATTGTTTTGACACAGGGTCTATGCCCCAGGACATGCTACTAGCACATATCTCCACACTGCCCAAGCCAGGAAAACCAGCGAACCAATGCCAAAATTTCCGCCCAATCTCCCTCCTCAATAGCGATACGAAAATCTACGCTAAAGCCCTAGCCGAACGCCTGAAAGACATTCTCACCCGAATAACGCATAATGATCAATCGGGTTTTGTTAAAAATAGACAGGGGTCGGACAACACGAGGAAAATCCTCAACATTTTGGCACATATGGAAAATAATAACGTGGAGGGTCTTCTGCTGGCGTTGGATGCCGAGAAGGCCTTCGACAGACTGAATTGGAGATACATGGAGCAAGTTCTCCTAAAATTTGGCTTCCCCGCACCATTTATTAAGGGCGTCTTGGCCCTGTATTCCAGCCCAGCAGCCAAAGTCTCCAGTGGCGGTTTCCTATCGAGCCCCTTCAAGATCACAAACGGCACACGCCAGGGGTGCCCGCTATCCCCCCTGTTGTTTGTGTTATCTTTGGAACCGCTAGCATGCACAATTCGCAAGCAAACGGACGTCAGGGGCATACAGATACAGCAAAGGGAATACAAACTGGCCATGTTTGCGGATGATGTCCTAGTATCCCTGACTCAGCCCACACAATCCCTGCCGCACCTCATGCGCACGTTACATGACTTTGGACAAATCTCGTATTACAAACTGAATCAAGCTAAGACCCAAGCACTCCCAATCCGACTGCCGACCACGACTGTAACTACATTGCAAGCCCAGTTCCCCTTCGAGACACTCTCACATCACATACCTAGGGGTCAAAATTGCTATTTCTCCCAGGAGAACAGCCATGCATAACATATCCACACTCCCTCAAATGTTTAAACAACTTTTACATAAATGGAAAGATGTGCAAATCACATGGTTAGGCAGGATAAATACTGTGTTAAAATGATGATACTACCGAAAATATTATACGTCTTCAGAATGTTACCACTACCTCTCTCTCTCTCGCTAAGCGCCCAAATCCAAAAATTGTTATCGGTTTTTGTGTGGGAAAACAAAAAACCCCCTATCCTTGCTGCAAACCCCGGTTAAGTTGGGAGGATTGGGCTTCCCTAATGTCCTAATGTACCATAAAGCAGCAGTACTAGAAGCAGCTATCAAATTACACGCCCCAAAAAATACACTTCAGTGGGTCGACATGGAAAATGAATACGGTACAGGAAACTCAGCAATACACTATATGTGGACACCCAAACAACTACGAGACAAATCCCAAGCATTATTGCCCCTTACTAGGACCACCATACAAGTCTGGGACCAATTACACCGCTTGCAAGCGACTGACAACAAATTCCTAAAATGGGCACCCATAGAGGCACTACAGTCTATATCTCCGTGGTTATCGTTCAAAAAATGGTCAGCACTGGGAATTACCCATATTACTAACCTATGTTCACAAAGGGACATCATCCCCTTCCCAGATTTACAGACCGCATACAACCTCCCACCATCCTTCATCTTCTCATATGTCCAACTAAAAAGCATTATCCAAGAACGAGTACTGCTCACAACACAAACTACAGACAACCCCAACACAGAAAGATTGGCACTGTATGACAGATGCCGTACGGCCCCAATCAGAGCCCGCTCCCTGTCCCTCAGCTATGCAGCCCTAAGACACACTAACACGATGCCAGACTTTTCCTTTATGGCACAGTGGAATAGGGAACAAACTATCCGCTTTCCTAAAGATCAGTGGCTACGATCAATCCTAGCGCTTAAAGGTATCACATCCTGCTACTCACATGTAGAAGCACACAAAAAATTGATCTATAGATGGTACCTCACACCCGACAAACTTAACAAAATATATCCACTATCATCAGCACAATGTTGGAGGTGCGAACAGGACAGGGGCACAATGAGCCACATATGGTGGCACTGCCCGAACATACAACCATTATGGACGGAGGTCCAGACGATCTGTAATTCCTTAGGGGTTCTCCGGGGTAAGATCACACCTGAGATAGGTCTATTTCTTCTGATACCCATGATCACCCTTTATCAAGATAGACAACTAATGATTATGGTAATCATGGCAGCACGTAATCTCCTTGCATACCACTGGAAGCAGAAGGAATGCCCATCATCACAGCTATTATATAGTAAAATACGACAGTACCTTAGGTATGAGCAATTGTCCACAGCCACACCCAAACATAAGACTGCCACAAACAATAACTGGCATAAATGGATAACTTTTGATCCACTAGCAGTACCATAGGCGGTATTATGGCTTTGAACTTAACATAGTCAGTATTATAACTATAGACTTACACCCCACACAGACACTGGACAACCAAGCAGAAGGGAGGAACAGTATAGATAACCTCAGGATAATAGGGGGCAAGTCACGTAGGCATATGCATGTTCAGCAGCAACTTATGTATAATCAGCAACAACAATGACCAAAGAACGACCACCAGTGCTCACCCTAGATTGTAGGGCCAAAAAGGCCCAACCCTAGACGGTGGAAAACACACCGGGCAATTCTGCAGAGGCGCACCTTGACCAGGAGTCATCCATAGATAAGCACACGCACCTGTAACTGTACATTGTTGGGTACGGTATATATATTACTAGAATGCTTTGCATACAGACTCAGGATTTGCCAGTTCTGAAACATGCTGAAACTGTAAATTGAACTGTATTGTAGTATCGCTTCTCTTTTACCCTTTACCCACCTACCCCTCTTCCTTTCTGTACCCCAACTGTTATGAAAAACTCAATAAAAGTACAAATTGAAAAAAAAATTATATATATATATATACACATATAGATTCACATACGTATATATATGCATATATTAATTCTACATATATATTTATGTAATATTTTTACATAATTAGGTATCTTAATTAATTACAATTAGCGGGACCTGCCTGACAACCCATGCCGAAAGTAAAGGGAATTTAATTTGCTAGCACTATATTTAACCCTATAACTTTCCAAGACACCATAAAACCTGTACATGGGGGGTACTGTTCTACTCGGGAGACTTCGCTGAACACAAATATTAGTGTTTCAAAACAGTAAAATGTATTACAACGATGATATCGCCAGTAAAAGTGACGTTTTTTGCATTTTTCATGCACAAACAGCAGTTACATGGACAATATTATTGCTGTGATACTTTTTACTGTTTTGAAACACAAATATTTGTGTTCAGCGAAGTCTCCCGAGTACAACAGTACCCCTCATGTACAGGTTTTATGGTGTTTTCAAAAGTTACAGCGTCAAATATAAGGCTTGTGTTTCATTTTTTTCACATTAAAATTTGCCAGATTGGTTACGTTGCCTTTGAGACCCTATGGTAGCCCAAGAATGAAAATTACCCCTATGATGGCATACCATTTGCAATAGTAGACAACCCAAGGTATTGCAAACGGGGTATGTCCAGTCTTTTTTAGTAGCCACTTAGTCACAAACACTGGCCAAAATTGGCGTTTTTTTGCATTTTTCACACAAACAAATACTATCGCTAACTTTGGCCAGTGTTTGTGACCAAATGGCTACTAAAAATGACTGGACATACCACATTTGCAATACCTTGGGTTGTCTACTATTGTAAATGGTATGCCATTATGGGTGTAAATTTAATTCCTGGGCTACTATAAAGTCCCAAATGCAACGTAACCAATTTTGCGAATCTCAATTTCAAATGTAACGTGCTATATTTGACCCTGTAACTTCCCAAAACGCCATTAAACCTGTACATAGGGGTACTGTTTTACACGTGAGACTTTGCTGAATACAAATATGTGTATTTTATTGCAGTAAAAGCAAACACTATTAAGACATTTACAGTTAAAATGTCATCTAGAACTAAAAAAATAAAAATAAATCTTATTGTCTCCCATTTTTTTCATATTAAGTTATGTTTCATAGCTAAATATTTGATATTAAATGAAAGCCCTGTTTCCCCTGAATAAAATGATATATAATAAGGGTGGGTGCATTTACCATGAAAGAGTTGAATTACGGTTGGACAGACATGTAGCGCAAATGCCAGGTTTTGTTTACATTTTGTTTCGTTCACAACGTGTACATTTGGCTCCGTCCTTAAGGGGTTAAAAATGCATTATTTCATCTGATTTATGTCTGAAAACATCTTGCAAAACCTGCATTTCTCGTCTGTAGTTTTTGCAAGCCCTCCCCTATAAACCCCACCCAGACTTTCTGTGGCTGTCCAATCACAGGTTTCCCAATGCAGCTCAATGAGATGTCTTTGCAAGGCAGGTGCTCTGGGCAATTGCTGCCTCTTGAGTTTAGCTTCTCTGAGCTAACCAAACCAGGAAGTAACAGGACCAGATGTCTGCTTGAAAGCCAACTGGGTGTCATTTTCTATTTAAATCTGCACCTTACACAAAATTAATAAAAGGACACACTTTTCAAACATAGAGCAATTCAGCAAGCTAAAGTGTTTTAGGAGCATGTTGTGTCCCTTTAAGAAGGGTACATCTGTGGAATAAGAGAATATGCGTGCTGTACCAATGGTCAAGGCTCAGCACTTCCTATGAAATTTTGTCAGTTACCTAAATTTGCCCTATTGGTTAATCTAGGTTTGTGTACACTGTGCAGTATCATTAAGTCTTCAGTGAATACTATTCTACCAATCTACTTCCCTAATACGTTCCTTACCTTTTGTGACACTTTACCCCACTCCCTCTAGCATGTAAGTTCTCTCTTGCTGTGCCTCAATTACATGTTGTTAGTCCACCTATTGTAAAGCGCTACGGAATATGTTGGCACTATATAAATATAATAATAATAATGCAACCAAACCTTCATGTAGCGACATCTGGTTGTACGGAAAATCCAGCAGCCAATATACACAATAAAAGTTAATGTTATACCTTAGTTCTTGGTAACTTTTCACCCACCAAGGTCTCTCTTAAATGTCTTCAATTCCATCTTTCAATACAAGTATTTCTTATTTATGTTATGTTATTTAAGTTATGTGTGTTCCAATATGCTCCAGCATTGTTTTTTATAGACCATATCCCATATGGGCTTGTTTTTTTTATTTTTTTTATTTTAAGGGCATAATCTTTTATTTTGAAGCATTGTTACCTTACATCTTGCAGATGTTAACTCTTTTGAGTACAAGAAAACTAACAAGCATGTTCCTGATATCAATGGGAAACCTGAGGAGACATACAAATTTAAGCCCTGGGCTCAAACTCCCACTACTTCTGGGTAACGGCAACGATTATAGTACACATCAGCCCTAATACATACAAGGTGTTTAAAAAAAAATACCCCTCTCATTCTCATTAGAGGTTTATTAGAGGTGAATAGTTGGTGTAGGACTCGCCTAAGAGGTTTTGCCTTGATGTGGCAAGTGAGCTTACACTTAAATGGCAATTGTAGTTATACTAAAAATCTCCAGTTATTTTAATGTACATAGGGATTTGGGATACCTGTGCAATAATCATGCTGTCTAATCAGAATCGTGATATGCCACAGCTGTGAGGTGGATGGATTATCTTGGCAAAGACAGATTTGTGAACGATATTTGAGAGAAATAAGCCTTTTGTGTACATACAAAAAGTCTTAGATCTTTGAGTTCAGCTCATGAAAAATGGGGGCAAAAACAAAAGTGTTGCATTTAAAATTTTGTTCAGTGTAAATACAGGGTTATTTACTAAAGTGAGAATTTTCAGGGATTCAAAGTAAATTTAAACTGTAAGGACTAAATAGCTGAATTGGAGTCTGCTATGCTTCTGTTTCAGCAATTTTGGTCTAAAATTTTAAATTTCCTTTGTATTCTCTTTGAATTCCCAACAATCCACACTTTAGCAAATAACCCCAAAATTTTGTTTTATTTCATATTCTATAAAGTTTTCATTTGTATTCAGTAATCTTCTTTCTGTACATCAATATTTTCTTATCCTTCCTAAGTGTTCTTTGTAATGTGTGGAATGGTTTGTTGAAGATCTATCACTTCGGTACATTGGAGTTCCATCCCAGATGTCAGTAAAAACCTGTATGCTCACTCTGTAAATCAGCATTACCATGCCCACTGCTGTCTTCTTTGTGCTATAACACCAAATATAACATTTGTCTAGAGATTTGGTTTTAAACCACATGTTGGATTAAATAAAATGCAGTGGAGTGTGTAACAAATCTCAATCTGGCTTTAATCGGGGTATATGTTCTACGTATTTTCCAATATTTTTCTACCAGGATACTCGAGTCCCAGGTGCCTTCCAACTGTTCATCGAGAACAAAAATCAAGTATAGACATCCTGTTACTATGTGTACACCTGTATACTTAATCGATGTGCTGCGTTCCTTTATTACAATGATCATATCATTTGGTCGCGTTTGGTCAAGTTCTATGTTTTACAGATAATGTTCCATTAATATCTGAAACGAACCAAAAAGCTGTACATGCACATAGGTAATGCATTATGAAATATATGGATAATACTCTTTCCATAAGGTATAGCAAGTACTGTGATAATACGCAGCCCAAAACTTGTTTTAGAAGTTCAAGGTCAGAAAGAACTTAATGTTAAAACTTGATAGATTTTTAAGTACTGCAACTTATGCATTTATGCTCTCTGCGGGCTTAAAGGGATTTGCCTCCAAATCCCAGCAATTTTGGAATGGTGATGCATCACAAATCAGGTAAAAGCACTTTCTTATCCATAGAAAATATGACTAACGTGATTAAGCTGCAATATCATCAGAGAAGGTGACATGGATCGAGGGGTTGTGGATTTACAGGTAAGGACATCA